ATATAACAAAAAAGCAGCCACTTAATGATATGGAAATTGCCTGGATTTTCCGTTAAAAGCATTTTCGGAAAAGCACGCCTAGATTGGCAGGATGCTTTTCTGCAAAAGCACTTTTTGCAGAAAAGCGTCCGTGGCCAATCTAGATGCGGTTTTCCGCAAAAAAGCCCCGATCGCCATTTTCGGGATCGGGGCTTTTTTGCAGAAAACAGTACAGTGCTGTCTACACTGGCCCTTTTGCGCAAAAGTCTTTCAGAAAAAGACTTTTGCCCGAATGGGAGCAGCATAGTATTTCCGGAAAAGCACTGACGATCTTACATGGGATCATCAGTGCTTTTCCGGAAATTCAAGCGGCCAGTGTAGACAGCTGGCAATTTTTTCCGCAAAAGCAGATGATTTTGCGGAAAAACTTGCCAGTCTAGACACAGCCTTACAGTTATGCATTTCTCCTCAAACATGGAAAACTCTGGAGATCTCACTTTGTATCTGGCATTATGTGTGCATGTGGGGCAAATGCATGCAGTAATAATTCCACTGATTTCAATGGAGTTACACTTGGGGTGCATTTGGCCCAATATATTTACCAGACTGACAAAGGCTAACTAGCCCTTAAGTGGGTTAAAAGTAATCTTAAGAAATGGCCACTGGTTTTGAATGATCAGAATGGGTGTAATTTTCCAAATAACAAATGAGATAGGGGAAAAAGAATTTCCACATTTCCTCCTATTCTTGTTCTCTAAAATACTGCATCTCAAAAATGTATGAAATATGAAAGCACTGTAAACCTTCTCCCAATTACAGACACTTCTTTCATCTTTTATGTGTATATCATTTCCCAGAAAACATGTTTCTATTCTTCCCCCCCTTGTTTGTATGAGAGCTATCCTCTATAGCAGGGCTACTCTACTTTGGAAGCCACAGGGGCCACAACGTTACTCACAGCACATGCTGAGGGCAGCAACTTAAGTGTTTGCATGTGCATGCAAATATATATGCAAATAGCTTCTTTCACACTAACGGGCATGAATACAAAAATTAAGCATTAAGCCGTGGCACCGGACCCAAACGTGGCCAGTGCGAGCCAGTCAGCACCTCTCAGGTTCTGCCCACAAGGCTAAGCAGTCAGCACTCCCCATAATGCCCTGGCGCTCCCATCACCTTCTCCATGGGGCTAGAAAAACTGACATCCAGTACCCATCTGTTCCAGCCAGCCCGTCTGCTTGCGTCTTTCAATGCTCACCCCACCTGGGAGACGCCTCGCTGTTGTGGAGCATGTGCCTAGTGGAGGCCATGTTCAAAGGATCCCACCCACGGGTGGGTGGGCCATGTGTTAAGCCCCGTGTAAACCCAAACCACACTGCGAGGCACAAACAAACGGGTAATGGGCCGCATGCAGCCCACATGCTGTGCGTTGAGTAGCCCTGCGCTACAATGAACACTTACTCTATCTTTCATTTTAACCACATTTTTATCTCTTTGTATTATAATGTCAGGCTACAAAACTTTCTTAACCATATGCTGAGGAAGAAATGTAATTTTCAATTCAGTTTCATTTCATTAATCATTAACAGCTGCTCATGTTGGTTAACTTTAAAATACAGCAATACCCCATTACATAAACTGGGGCTCTTCACATCCATTCTTTGCTTTTGTACAAATGGAACACATCTGAAGAAACAAAATAATACTTAGTGTCGTGTTAAGCTCCAGTATTACGTGACTTCTTCACTTCTTTCACCCCACCTACAGATGTCTTACATAAGGATGTTAAATTTAGTTTAATCAACTAATCGATGGATTTTCCATTGACTAGTCGATAAGCGGAGGAGCTGCAGTGGGGTTAGCTCTAGGAGCTAACCCCACTGTGGCGCTGCATTTTAAATGTATTAAAAGTCCGTCAGTTCTTAAAATATTTAAAAGGCTAAAGTGCAGCAGGAGGGACCCAGTGTGAGCTGGGACAGCTGATTCCTGGATCATGCAGGGTCCCCCATGCTGTGCACCAGCCTTTTAAATACATACACAGCCTTTTAAATACAAATCATCTGTCCCAGCTCACACTGGGTCCTCCTGTTGCACACCAGCCTTTTAAATGTATTGAGAGCCAACAGGCTTTCAATACATTTAAAAGGCTGGTGTGCAGCGGGGAAGCGGGGGACCTGAAACGAGCTGTGAATTAGTTGTCCAGGCTTGTGCTGGGTCCTTCCTGCTGCACGTTAGCCTTTTAAATATTTTAAGAACTGACAGGTTCTTAATACATTTAAAAGGCAGAGCTATAGTTGGGTTAGCTCCTGGATCTAACCCCACTGAGGCGCCTCTGCTTATCGACTAATCGACTAGTCAATGGAAAATCTATCGATTAGTTGATTAAACTAAATTTAACATCCTTATGTAAGATAAGATCTTTATGCTAAAGCACAGTGGAGGGACCTAGCCCAAGCCAGGAATCAGCAGTCCCGGCTTGTGCTGGGTCCCACGCTACGCTTCTGATTTTTAAATGTATAAAGAGCTGTCAGCTGATTTCCGGCTCACACCCGGTCCCTGCTACCCTCCCCCACCCGCAGCGGAAACAGTGCTGTGGGGAGACAGGTTAAAAGGAAGCTCCTGCCCCTTGCTGAATCAATTAGAGGCAGCAAGGGAGGAGGCAGAGACTAGTCAAGGGACTAGTCGACTATCCGATAAGCTTTTGGTTTTGCTTATCAGATAGTTGACTAGTTGTTTACTTCCCTAGTCTTACACTGCAACTGATTATTTTTTTAAAAAATAAAAAATCGGAAATTAAAAATATTGAAAAATAAAAAAACCTTTTACATCCCTAGTTGCAAAATAAAGGGCATGTATTATGCAAGATAAAATAAGAAAATGACTCTTAATGGCAACTGGCAACTCTAGATTTCTCTTACTGCAGCTTTCTGTATTGTACACTTGAATGATAAGATTCTAAATTTAGTTAACTAATTAAACAACCCATAAGGATTAGCTAAGATAATCTTTTTTCTTTTCTTTTTTTTAGCGACATCCAATACAGCAAAGAGCTTAAGAATTTACTTGTCAAATCACACTTACACTAAATGGCATAGAGAAAGTCTTGAAGAATAACACACTGCAAAGTGAATCATTTAAGTTTCTAACCAACTGAGCCATTCAGCCATATCCATATCTTCATCCACATCATTTTCTTCCAATAAGCAGCTTTCCTTATGACGTTTCATTCTTGCAATTAGGCCCTGCATTAACTTCTTCAATAGCTTACACTTGACACATTTTCCTTTTTTTAACCCAGGGAACGAATTTTCTCAATATATTCTTAGAAATGGTCCCTTTTGCATCCAGAAGCCATGACAGTTTTTCTGTGGCAAAAGCGTGGGAAAGTATAGGAAGTCGTGTGTGTACTAAATAATGTCTTCCCTTTTTCTCTCTAGTCCACTTCACTATTGTTCCTTTCTATGCTGCCTCCATCCTTTCCTATATATTGCCTCTCTTGTCTTTAAAACAATGTTTTAACTAACTCCTTTGCCATGTTTGGCCAAGGTTCACCGCCACATAAGCACAGAACAAAAACAATCCTATTCAGCTTGTGTCTGTCTTTGCACTTGTTTCTTTTTAGTCTGCTGAGAAAGAGAAATTGAAAGCCCAGAACTTTCTAGTAGCAAGAGCTAATAGTTAGACTGGACAGAGTAGAGCCATTAAGTCATTATTATGAGACAGTAGGTATAGATCAGATGTTTGTGATGAGAGTTAATTGTAACTGTTATTCTAATGAGACATTTAGTATTTTATTGATCATTTAAAAAAATCTGATTTCAATAAAAAAAGCCCTGTCAGCATCCTTTCCTTCCTATTCCAACCAGCCAAAATGGTTAACTGTATAACCGCTAGGATTTTTAATCATTACACGGTTACTTTTTAAAAATCTTTTTTACACCCATATTTGGAACAGCATGTCCACAGACCATGATGGTGATGCCATAATTGCTATTCCCTATTTTACTTCATCATAATTCAGCTTTTCCAAGAGAACCCCATTCTATATTTGTTTTCTCAAAAAAAAGACATGACAGTGAGTTCAAGGGAGCTCATTTCAAAATTAAGTGCACTCTAAGCACAACTTGTCTTAGCATTTTGGTAAATTGATTCAAACCAATGATTTTTTTTGGTGATTTAAATCTATCTGCTCTGAAGGTGGGTGAGGTAATATATTATTTGATGAACTTTTTGAGAGAGACAGTCACGTTTACACAGAGCTCTTCTTAAGGTCTGTGATGGAAATAGCAGCTTCCAAAGACCAGGCTTTACATAGTCTAGCTACAAAATTGCTACTTTGTTCATTTTACATTCTACTAATATCACCAAACAAGACTGCTTGTTAGCGTAAAGTGGAGTCGAGTGTACAGTCTTTCTCTAGTCTTCCTGAAACGTCTGTTTCTCTCGGGTTAGACAGCTGTTCAATTACTCAAAAATGTTCTGTTTCATAAAAGGAGTTGATTTAATGTTGTGTCTTTTGTCAGAGCCAAGATTTTTGAAACATCCCATAGCATCAATATTCTCTCTCACATAATTATTAGTTATTATTTAAGGTGTGATAGTGTGATTAATGCTAGAGGCAAAAGATGACATGGTCTGCTGCACCAAGGAGTATATAATCTAACTTCCACAAACTCGTTTTTATATTTTATGTACTTTTATATTTAGATCTATAACAGAAAAAATGCCTAGACTCTTTTGATATCAAAAATATGACAGAAAACACCCAGCAGTCTTCTCGTAACTAGAAAATAAGAAACTACCGAGCCAGAGATAACAATCAAATCAAACAACACCCTGACAGTGCTTGAGTCATTTAAAACGAGACAGAACGAAGCACTTAAGAATGCACTGTGGGGAACAACTTGCACTAAGAAGGAGACAGAGTACATGACTTTGGCCCTGATTCAGCAAAGCACTTAAGCACGTGCTGAATTGGGGACATAATGAGCTAGATTGCCAAGCAAGTTAAGTATGCAAATGTGCACTCACTTTTTACTGTGCAATTACCACAAATACATATGTAAATGAGATAACTGTGCATGTATTTGACTAAAACTGGACATCTGGACATGCAATTACCCAAAGTGCACATTTGTGGTGACTTTAACACATATTATGCTGCTTTGACCATCTGATTCTATAGGTCTTTACCATGTTTTTTTTCCTTTTTCTATTAATTTATGCAAACATAGAAATTATTTCTACAAAGGACCTAGCAACTCCTATCTTTATATTAACTCTGAAAGCTGTCTGCTTAGAGAGAAAAGACACACTAATTCATTTCACTTCACTGGACAAGACAGACACTGGAGGTATTTTTGCAAGCTTTCTATAAATATGCTGGTAAAGAAATCCAGCAGTGCAGCAATTTACTTCAATATGTTTTGGGTAAATTTCTAATACCTCTAAAACTGAGTGGTCAGAGGAGAAATGTCATTATGATGTATTTGTAACAACTGGAATGTATGTGTACTATGTATACAAACTTACGTGCATACTGTATTTGTATACAATATAAGAGAATCAGTCCTTTTAATGTTATCAAGAAGAAATCAAGATTTGTGTCTGATACAATTGTTCTGTCTGCTGATTCGTCACTGATACTGACAGGCTCCATACTTATCAATTCCCGTTACAGAGTAACCACAGGTATTTATTTGGGTAGTTAATTATTTCTATTGCTAAGAATAGCAGGTATTACTTTAGCAATGAAGAATTTGTAAACAGGACAAGGAGTACAAGTTCCTTATTCTTGGGTCTGTTGAAATTTTAAAATAAAACAGCGCTGCAACTGCAGTCTAAGCCAACATGTAAACTATTGCTCTTCTTCCATATTTTGAGGAACATCAACAATTAAAAGCACAAAGTTATTTGGTATTTAGATGAGTACTGTCTAAGTGCAAAAGTAATAGCCTCATGCTTCCAGTGTAATGTTTGAGTTGTTGGGTAATAAAGGAGGCTCCAGAACTCTAATTCCTGTTATTTTCATAAACTTAGGAGTATTCACATAACCACCGTAGCTTTTCAAAAAAATATTAAGCTACTTAGTGCATTGTGCACAGGTGTATGTGACAAGTGTGGTGTAACCTGCTGGTAAGTATGTGTTATAGGTTGCCTGTATGTGCCAATCCACAGAGGATATCAGTTGTTACAGCCCCAAGTCAGGCCCACTGACAGGATGGGGGGCAGCAATGAGGTCAGTTTCCTTGGGGCCCAGTGATTTATAGGATCCCGGGGGCTCCTGGTAGTCGCCACTTCAGCAGCGTAAGTGTCTGGAGCATTGGGGCCTTTAAATTACCACCAAAGCGCAGTTTTGAAGAATGGGGGCAAGACATGCTGGCTGCCCCTAGCTCTGCCTCTTCCGCCTCAGATCCTGTCCCTTCCCGGAGTGTGGGGCTGCCCCTCCTACACCATGTCCAGGGGAGGCTGTCGGCTCTTCAGCTCATTTTGTAGCAGCTCATGCTTTTAACTCTGCACATCCCCAGTTTAATCACAACCATGTTGGCCAAAAGCGTGGCCATCACACTGGCTTATGGTCTTATTTGTGACTGAGCTCAGATCACCAAAGTATTTCTCACCAGCATCCAATTCTGGACTATTGCAATGCTTCCAAAAGTGAAATCTTTCATCCAGCTCTCAGCTTGACTGCCCCCAGCCCAATAAAACAAACAAAAAAAACCCTCCTGTAAACTGTCTGGTAATTTACATTATCTGTAACAATTTACTATTGGGTTAGCGGCTACTAATATATGACATTGCTGTTTCATGCACATTTTCTCTCAGGACACTAGATTGCTAGGTTACAAGCATTATCAAATGACAGGTCTTCATATCATCTAATGCTTTTGCTTAAAATAATTTTAAGTAACTTAACCTGAAGTTGTAACATTTTACCACTTCCTTTTTGGGGCTTTCAGGGTTGCAGCTGTAAATTAAGGAGTTGTATATAGTACTGAAGATTAGGAACGAGGACAAATCCTTTCAAGCTCATCTCTTCTAACCTTTTGCTCTGGACTGCTTTTGGTCACTTTGATCTCTAAGGGATTCAGACTCCTTCATATACACTAAGGCACTTTGCCAAAGAATACAGTACAATTTGGCATCTCTCTGCTAGTGTGACAAATAGAAAGAAGTACCCTAGAAAATCCAATCCTAAATGCTCTAACTAGAAAACTTCCTTTCAGAGATTTTCCAGAGCGGTTTAGTTTTCAAACTTCTATATAATATTTTGAAATATCCATAGTGATCTTCACCTCTGACCAAGCCATTTGGCTCCTTGACTAATATAATTATACTGAGCCAGACCAAACTGGCTTTCTTTGCAAAAGTGGACTTTTTCATCAAAGTTTACTTGACATTTACACTATGCTCAAGAGGTTTTCAAACAATAACAAGCATCTCTGATATCTATTGTGCAGTAGAAAACACAATGAAGTTTTAAAAAGTTTTCCTATAATCTCTGGAAAGTAAACACTGGAACAATGACGTCTTTTTACTGACTTGCTTACAAGCCGGTGTGCCCAATACAGAATTATTCTTTTATTCTGAGCCATACATCATGTACCAATAAAAGTGTTTCACTTGAACAGCATGAGAATATTAACTTATTCTATATCTGCAATCATTAACATGAAAAATAACATTTTAAACTCACCCTAATCCTGGAAAAATAAAAACAATATCTTGTATAAGTAACTCTATGGCCATTTCAGAAAATGTTGGCCTTTATGTTTCTAACCTGCATATAACTGTATGAAATACTAATGAGTAGATCATAAATATCTAGTACAATTATAGTAAATATGGTAACAATACATTACCTAAAAGGCTGATGCCTAAGCGGGAAAGCCCCTGTCTCAGTCCTTCTCCCAAATTCTCTGGAAGCTGCCTTCTCCATTCTTCTTGTCTATTGTAATGCTCCTCATCCAGCGACAGCCGATCCATATTCCGAGCAAGACTAGTTGCAAGATTAGTAATAGATGTCAGTGTACCTAAATACAAAGTTATATGTTTGAATGTAGATCAAACTGTTTTAATGTAATACTCAGAGATATTCTAGTCTCACTGAAATATTATGCCTACCAACAAACAGAACAGCAATTCAACTGAATAAATTCCCCATGTATAACATACATTTATTATTATTTTAAACAGCATTAATGTGCTTCATTAGTGCATATTATACCTTTTATGTTGCCCTTCACGAGACCTGACTTACCATTGACAAGCACAGCTCGTTGAAATATTTTTCACCGGTTCCTAAATTTTTACAAATCTCAAATGAACATAATGGGGATGGATGGAAAGGTAAACCAAGATTCAAAAAACAAACCTATAAAGGCTTCTTTTGCATGAATCTGAAATGCTAGCATACAGTTTAACTGTTCCATTTTTGTTGCTGACCTTGTTAAGCCACAAGATGGCACTGTTTATATAGCCTTATAAAAAAAGCTGGCTGTGTTTTAAACACAGATCTGCCTTCAAGTCAAACTGTATCTACATACTTACAACAGTTATGACAACTGTATCTACATTTTTTAGAAATAATAAATATGACGAGGCACCATAGTGTAGAATTTCTGATGTTTAGCAGAAGTACTGAACACCTTTAATATTTCTGTAGTCATCACATGGAATGATGGCCAAGCCAATCTTGGTTTCCCCAATGGGAGGTTTAAAATTCTGAAGTTTTTGAAACATTCTAGCACACTGTAGTCAAGAAGTGATCTGTTTAATACATAAGACATTATATATGAGCTTTGTTATACTTCCTGAATTTCTTTGCAAGCTAACAAGGCAAACAAAGCTGCAGGCAATTTCATTTTAAACTTTAACACATTTTTGAAAACAAGGCAGAGGTAGGAGCAATGAAATGGAAGATCTCTACCTTTGGAAATGTGTTTAACAAATGATGTTGTTCCTCTGGAAACTCCACTGACAAATGCTCCTGGGCCCCTGGTCAGCCCCTCATACGGGAGTCTAAAGAAGTCAGCTATGCCATTCCCTATACTTCTTACTAAGCTAGCTGGGCTTCCAAGAATTTCCAAAGATCCGACAACCCAGCCTATGTCGAGAAACAGAACAAATGTTACATTCACTAGAAACGTGGAATCAACAGTTGTGAAAAAGTTATTCCTTAATACCGTTTTTTTTTACACTAGAATTCACATTATGAACTTCCTCTGAGCAAAACACGGGAAATAACTCATTCACAATGAATTCAGAAATGGCAATCTTTCATACTTTGTAAATCAAAGAAATCCCTTTGGCAAACTCACAAATAGCTTTGGAATGACTTCCTTCCACAAGCCTCCCGTATTTCTGCTAAAAGTGTGTGTGGAGAGATGGAGGCTAGATTCTAACAGCTAGAAGCAACAGTACTGGAGGCTTAACTTGTTTTGTAGGCAACACAGTGATTTCTCATCCTTATGTGAGAGAATCATGACAGATAGTTTACAGTGATTCAATGTACAGACTTATGAGTGCATGGAGGTCAAATGCTTGATGGGGTGTTGGAAAGGGGATGCAGACTTTTGACAAGTGAATGAGAAGTTATTTTTAATCCACCCAACCTTTCTGAGCTGATCACATTTTTCTTGAACTTAGTTCTAGCCAGGCAAATGTATTTTTCTCAGTACAGTTGTGTAAATAGCAATGACATATACATGCTGATTAGATTACTCAGAAGGGAGTATTCCTTACTATATATCCCAGGAGAGGTATCTGGAGTTCTAGAGGCCAGCCTGATGGCCACTGTTGTGCTCTGTTGTGAGTCTTACTGTATATCTGCTTTGCAGGTCTCTTAGTTCTCAGGCTGGTGGATTGGCAGGAGGTTATTAAAAAGGTGGTGCTACCATAATTGTTGTTTTCAGCAGCCCACAGAGACAGATTCAGAAACAACAATAAAGGCTCATTGGAGACTGCCTGCTCTGCCACTCAACCAATCACAGATTTCAGATATTAGGGCTGCCAGAGTTACATGATACATAATAGGGACAGACTAGTAAA